AAATCCATGGAAATTGGCCAAACATCACAGTCTATCACACGGCAGCTTTTGCTACTGATCTCCTTCACTAAAAAGTGATGTGCTGTTATATTTTGGGGTACTAGGAAGACTGAGGAAGCCAACCCAGGCACAGGTTCGGTGTCCAGGCCACCCTCCCTCCGTTATATCGTACCACATGACAGACACCGGCTCCCTTTCCTAACCTCCCCCACATCAAGATAATAAGGAGAAATGTCTGGAATGTGTGGTAGAATGATGTGGCATTCCAACATCCTCCTGACAGAAAGTTCTGAAGTGCATCTTCCTGTTTAAAGGTCAAAACACAAACCGAGAGGGTCCCTGGTTCATTCCGCAGTCTTTACCACCAGAAGCAGTAGTCTCTGAAGAAGGTTTTAGTGGAAGTGGGGGAGGCCTGATGGCATCGCTCTTATTTTACTTCTGATACATTGCTTAGGTTACCTTTTCCATTGATGAACGGAGAGTCTCAAATGGTCTCTATAATCAATTCTCTTTACTCAAACCCTCGACTTCTTTTTAATTACAGCACTCTTGTTGGGAGCACTAAAAATGTTCCCAATTTTGTCTTGCAGTTGAGAAATTAGGCCTTGAAGAAAATCTAAATAAGTCCATGGTGTAACTCACTAAACCAACCTAGAGAAAAGAGAATTCACTTAATAATTCTAGGTACTTAATTTTATCATGATATCTTTTTTTCTTTCTCATGAAAAAATAAAGCTATAAAGTTTTCTGTGATCTGAGATTAAGGCCCAACTGTTCTGTTCCCCATGCCCAGGATGTATTTACTGTCTACAGTGAATTCATTTTAAGGCATCACTGAGACACTGAAGTTAAGTTTCCTTTGAGTTTATCATGAACAGTCCTTTTCAGCACATGCGTGTAGCCACATGAACTTTTTCTTCAGTTCTAAGCTTTGCTCACTCTGTGGTGACTTCCATTTTTAACCGAGTCATCCTGCAAAAGCTGTCATAACTTACCAGAGATGCAATTTTCTCTTTTTTATATTTTGTTATTTTTATTTTATGTGTATGAATGCATTGCCTACATATGTGTAAGTGCACCTGTGTCATGCAGTTCCCACAGAGGACAGAAGAAGGCATCGGATCCCCTGGAACTGGAGTTAGAGATGGTTGCTAACTGCCATGTAGGTGCTAGAAATCGACCACAGGTTCTCTGCAAGAGCAGCCAGTGCCCTTAACCACTGAGCCATCTCTCCAGCCCCCAGAGTATGAATGCATTGCCTACATATGTGTAAGTGCACCTGTGTCATGCAGTTCCCACAGAGGACAGAAGAAGGCATCGGATCCCCTGGAACTGGAGTTAGAGATGGTTGCTAACTGCCATGTAGGTGCTAGAAATCGACCACAGGTTCTCTGCAAGAGCAGCCAGTGCCCTTAACCACTGAGCCATCTCTTCAGCCCCCAATCATACAATTTTCTAAATAGAGACATTTTAGGTAGGAAAACCCATACCCAATCTTTATGGACAAGGAAAAATTAGATTCTGCTAATTGCCTTAGCTCAGATAGAAAAACAATATGTTTCCCACATTTACTAATCAAAGTGATATTCAAGAAAGTCCTTTGCTTTCTGTGCTTTTCCTTGTCTCTGAAAATTCTTTGACATTAGCCCACAAGTGTCCAGGGTATGTAGATCTCAGATTAGGAAACTCGGTGCGCAGATGCTAAATTCTCTGCCTGTAATTTGCCTGTTCCGTTAGTGATCATTGAACTGGACTACCATTTCTTTCTCAGCGTCCACTCAATTCTGAGAACTGACCTGTCCACACAGGGTCCCTCAGATCTAGACTGTAATTTTCCTTCTCTGTTTGCCTACTCTAAGATTCTGTTTTCAAGAGAGATGATAAAAGTAGAAAGGCAAGCTTTGATGGTTGCTTTGTTTGAATGAGAAATGCCCCTCATAGGCTCATGTCTTTGAACACTTGGCCCCCGGTGGCAGTGGTGTTTCTGGAGGTCATGGAACCTTTAGAAGATGGAGGCTCACTGGAGAAAGTACATTACTAGGGGCAAGATTTGAGAGTTTACACCTTATCCCACTTCTAGTTTGGTCTCTCTACTTCCTGTGTGCAGTTGAGATGTGATCTCTCAACTTCCTGGTCCTGTTGCCATGCCCCCAACCCCCATCATTACGGACATCTAGCCTTTTACAACCATATGCCAAAATAAAATTTTCCTTCAGTTGACCTTAGTTATGGTAGTTTATCACAGCCACAGAAAAGTCACTAATACAGTATTCGATAGTCCTGCATTCCCACAGTTCATCGCTGTGTAATCCAAAACAAGTGGCTTTAACTTTTCTGAGACTTAAACAAAAAAGAGAGAAAAATGGTTGCCTTACCATAATCCTGAAGTTGATTCATTTATTCAATCAACTGGTATTTAACTGAGTTTCTACTTTGTGCTAAAAGCTAGTCATGGGAACCACGTTCACAAAGAGAATGGATTCTTGATGTTGGTGTTCTACAACGGCTGTTGCCCAGGACAATATGGGGATGCAGTGAGATCACTGTCCAGTCTGCATTACTGCTGTAACCTGTGTGAGAGGCTCTGGTCTGGTCCCTACCTCCTCACTCAAGTGTCAGATCAATCATTCAACAGCCAGTAGTGCTTTCTAAATACAGATTAGATCCTTTTAATACTTCCAAATTCTCTGCTTGCTTGCTTCTGGGATTTTATGCAAATCCCAAATTTAATGAAGAAATGCTAATATCTAATGGCCACTTGGGTTTGGGAATAAAGGAAGCTTAGGTTACCCTGAGGGACTTACCCCAGGCTTAAGGACATGGAAAGATGGTATTATCATGAGCTGAAGGAGGAACCAGAAAGAACCAGCTTGGGAGTGGGACATAAGCTAGTTCTGACTGGGAGTTTCTGTTGAGAGTGAAGCCTTTGTGGAAAAGACATGCAGAAATCAGGCTGCTCAATGTGGAATTCAGAAGCAATCGAAAGCCAGAGAGTGTAGGAATGAGGCCAGAAAGAGAGTTCAGCAGGTAAAGGTGACCTGAGTTAGATCCCCATGACCCATATGATGGAAAGAAAGAACCAACTCCACATATGCACTGTCATAGCACACATGCAATGCTTGCATATGTGTACACAAACACACACACACAAATAGATAAATATAATAAAGTATTTTAAAAATAATTTAAGAATAAATGACAGGCATAATGATAATAATTTTAGCTATTAAGACAAATGTACCCAACAGTTTAAATAGGATGTTCTATATGAAAAATGGAAATCCTCAGTCTAGGGCTCAAAGATAGCTCAGTTGGGAAAGTGTTTGTCATGGAATCATGAGAACCTGAATTTGATCTCCAGTGCTACATTAATATATATATTAATACACATTACTACATTGATACACAATACTGCATATACATATATATTGAGGCGTGGTGACCCACACTTACAATTCAAGCCACAGGGAGGCAGAGACAAGGGGTCCTAGAGCTCACTAGCCAGCCAGCAGAGACCACCTGGGGAGTTCTAGGTCAGTGAAAGACCCTGTCTCAAAAAAAATAGGTGGACTTTGCCTGAGAAACAACAGCGAAGGACAGCCTCTGGCCTCTACATGCACACATGACCCCACACATGTCAGCTGCACACACATCTCACACACACACACACACACACCACACCACACACACCCTGCAGTCTGGATTGCCAGGTTCCACACACATTTCTAGAAGAAACAAAAGAAACAATCCGTCTGTCCAGACTGTGTAAAACTTCTTCCAAAACTCCTCACGTGCACACAGTGCACAGAATCCTGAAAATTCCGCTGTGCATGGCTCCTCCTCTCCATCAACACTGATGCTGCAGCTCTGCAAATCAAAGCCACATTTCCTTCTCTGCACCTCTTCCTCTGCGTGCGATTGGGTCCCGTGATGTTTGGACTGTGATGCTGTCCATAATTTCCTTGTTTTGTAGCAATGACAAACTCATTAAATACACAGATGCCGCTGATCCCATAGACGTCTGCACGCCTCACTCTGAGATCACTGAGTGGAACCTCTTGACACCCTTCCTTGAAAGCACATATTCTCTCCTTTAAAAAAGAAAAATGTGTGTGTTGGGGGCTGGAGAGATGGCTCAGTGGTTAAGAGCACTGGTTGTTCTTGCAGAGGACCTGGGTTCAGTTCCCAGCACCCACATGGCAGCTAACAACTGTCCATAACTCCAGTTCCAGGGGATTCGACGCCCTCTTCTGACCTCCACTGGCATTGCACAACACAGGTGTAGTTACATACATGCAGGCAATACAGTCATACACCTAAAATAAAAACAAATAATAAATAATTATATGTGTTGTTCATGACCAAATAAAACTTAAGAGGCATTTACGTGAACAGATTGCAGATAGGCTAAAATAACAGGACCTACTTTCTCTAGGGAGCATTGGTGAAAAATGGCAGTTACTGTACCCAGATTTCATATGTATTTAGGACCCATAAGTCTCAGTGACAGAGTGGACTGTCCTGTCTCAATAATTAATGTCCTGGGAATTCTCTAGGTAGACTGTGAGTTGGATAGTTTGTGGGCTATTATGTCAAAGCTCCATGTCAGACAGGATGCATACACAATTCTCCGCAGAAAAATTATTGTTGCAAGCAAACTGGTGTTGGGTTTTTTCATACACTTCAAAAGTAAGCAAACATATGAAAAATATATGATACCCTACACAATTGCCTCACATTTTTAAGTGACAGGTTTCTTTAGGGTTATTTGCTAATAGAGTTTATCTTTGAGTAAAACTGTTACAAATTTTTCAATCTTGCTTTTGGAACATCCATTGCAGTATGTTAAAAGTTCAGTTGTGTGAAGACTTAATTGTTGTACTAAATCTCATTTTACCTTCAATTTCAGCACTGTTAATATACATTTTTCTTAAGAGGCGAAGGGTTGTCGGCCATCCTGTATTGCATGTATTTAAGCTTCCTTTCCTGTCTCTTTAAAGGTATCCTTGTTCCCAAAATTCTGGTGGAGTACAACATCTTACTCAGTGGTGGAAGTGTGACATTTTTTACCTTCTCTGTTGGATGCTGTCAATCTGCCTTTCTGAATAATCTGGCTCCTTTCACACAGTATGACATCAGGATACAAGCTTGCCAAAAGGGTGACTATCTTTTAGAATATATTTCCTTTAAAAAGGAATAGATTCTCAGTTGAAATAGAGAGAGCAACATTTCATTTCTGGTTTGGAGTGGAGTGTTTACTCAGGAAAAATAGAGTCTGGAATTCAGCAAAGCATTATGCATTTCTGCACATTAAATCATGAATATTTAAATATATTAGAATGGTGGCGTTGTAAAGTCTTATTTTATAAGTACTTTTAAAAGAAAAACACCTGGCTCACACAAAGGTGTCACTGGTGGTAAAAAATATATTTTACAAAAAACATATAATATGTTTTAAAGTTGTATTATTTCAATTTTTCAGGAGGGGATAGGGAGAAGCTGTTTAAGTGTTGAGTTCCACACAAATGAGTCGTGTATTATGTGGCATTCTCTTGGATGTAGTGTCCTATCGAAGCTGTTTTGCTGAGTTCCATGCCTTAACCAGTAGCCAAGTAGAAGCATTAACTGTGTTATCTTAGAGAGAATGTGCTGCAGTCCTTCTTCTCCCCTAGTGAAGGGTTAGTTAGATATAAACTGAAATTCAGAACAGGGGAATGTGGAATCCCGGAAACACGTTGTACATTATTCATTCATCTCTACCTTAAAAATGAGTGGCTAGATGGGACTATACCATGTGTGTATGATAAAGAACACCTCATTGCGACATGGAGATGGAATTCGTACAGGTATACAAAACATTCTGCTTCACCTTTCAACATGCTGTCATTCCAGTCTTGTAGTCCACGTGGTGCAGCTGGCCAGACCCTCTGTGTTTGGTGTCTTGTTCCCCTAGAGTTGGTTTGGTTTCAAAGCAGAAGTTTTGTCACTTTTAGTTCTTACCAGAAATCCCAAGCCCGTCTGTCACCTCCTACAGACCAGTCCGTGGTTTGTTGGAATGCTTTTTCTTTCCGCTGTTCAGCTTTCCGCTCCACAGCGTGGAGACAGCTTTATAGCCCTGCCCTCTTGATGCAAGGGGTCTTGATACAAAGTCAATGCTTCATCTCCATATCCCTAAAATTTGATATGGCTAGCCAATTGATTTAAGATTAGTTGTTTTATTTCTGTGTATTTGAAGAGCAGTAGTTAGTTTAAAATATTGTCAGAACTGAAATAGTGTAGAGAGTGTGTGGGTCATGCACACATTCATGATAGTCAAACACAAGATCATTTTCTGGCTAAAATGACCTGCAGTAAATAAAGAAACCAGGCCGGCCAGGTCGATGTTTTCTTACCTGCATCTGTATGGATAGGTAGTTAACACTCTAAAGATGATTCCATATTTTAATGTTCAAATTGTATGGGTATGTATGGCACCAATCAAAAATGTATATACAGTATATTCTGATAAATTATTTTCATAATCTTATTACCCTCCTGTATGTCTGTGTGACTTTTTCCTTGCTTGACAAATTACTAAAGTTATTGGGTTATTTTTCCAGGAAGTTGTGGAGTAAGCAGTAGGCTCTCTGTCGGCACACCCGAAGCAGCCCCACTGGGTCTCAGCTCTTCTCTTCTTAAGGCGCTGGGGTCATCTCGCATAGAGGTTAAGTGGATGCCACCTAGAAGACCCAATGGAGTCATCACCAGCTACTTTATTCACAGGTGAGGGCTCAGTGATTGGGAATGCATGCCATCCCAGGCCTGCAGAATCAAAGGCATGTTCTACTTTGCAGGGGGATAGAGGGGCATTCGTGCTTTATGGTGCACAAACTGATGAAAACACAGACTGCTGTTGCCAACTTGGGCACGCTGCCCAAGGGAAATAACCTACTGTGGGACCGTGGAGACCCCAGAGCCCTTGAAGCTGTGGTCCTCTTCATCCCAACTCCTAAATGCTAATCTCTTTGTCTCATTTTGCCCACTTTTCTGACTGTTTGGGCAATACTGGGGATCAAACCCAGGGCCACACACATGCTAAGCGAGGGCTGCACCACCGAGCCGCATCCCCAGCCCCTCCCTTTAATTCTAAGGCACCTGCTCTCTGCTGGTCAGCAGTGAACATTCCTCATCGTGTGCAGAACTGATTACTTAGGATCTACCTGAAGCCAAGACCATAGGATCAGAGAAAGAGGGCATGGGGAAGGCAGGGAGGGAAAGATAGTGGAGCGAAGGGAGGGATGAGAGGATGAAGGAGAAGAGAGGGAGGGAAAGTGAGAGAGGAAAGCAGAAGCTTAAAGTAAAACAGACGAGGGGCAAAGATCATGCGCACTGAGAACTTGATTTCCACAGTGGAAAGTGCAGGTGTGGCAGACAGGTGGGTTTGTAGGCCAAACCCCACTCCGAAAGCTGTGTCTGCAGAGTCACACCAACGGCGGCATGTTCCCCATGCTCCTTACCCCCCACGTTCATATCTTCTGTTGGTCTCCATGCCTGGACGCTTGGTGAAACTTACTTCAGACTTCAGACCCATTGATTTGGACATTTTATAGGGGAAAAAGGAAAAAAAAAAAAAAAGACTGTGAAAGAAGTAACCAGTACTGCATTTCTGGTTATGTAAATGACATTACCAAGAACGAGCAGGCCAAATTTCTTAGCAAACATTAATTTGAAGAATTATATTTCTGAATCAAATACATGAACACTTAAAAATGGCTAATGCAAATTTACATTTTATGCCAAGCACGTTAGTACAGGCTCCAAAATGCCCATCCTCCAGAAATATTTCCTTTCATCTACTTAATGCTAATTGCAGGAGAAAAGCACATCAAATTCTTATTCTGAATAAAGGGAAATAAAGAATCTGTTAGCAACCAGGACGTGGCTTCAGTCTGTTGGTTTTGTAAATAAAGCTGATGATTGCAATGCCTATCCCATAGTAGTACGGAAAAACAGGAAATAGAATGCAGAAAAGCCTGCTTCAATGAAAAATACTGTAAATTGAATTTGACAGCATTTGATGGCATTTGATTATTCCAGTCACAGGCAAGCAATGATATAAAGAGTAATATGCAACACAATGTGTTACTGCCTAGCAGACTCAAAAGCAATAAACCACCCTCCAGTGTGACACAATCACTTCACAATCATAATTGTAGCCTGTTTGATACCTCAGAGTACAGCGGAAGGGCGCTGACTGACATAGATACATTTTGTTTTTTATTTAAAGTGAAATGAAAACGGCCCACGGGGGGCTCCAGATACAATCGTTACATTCACCTACCGAGGCATGAATCACTTGGTACTTATTTCAGCTGAAGTTTAAATGTGCTTAGACAACAACAATATCAAATTTTTCTTAGATAGCTGCAGAAAAAAAAAAAAGAAAAGAAATTTGTAAGGACAGAAATAACATGTAAACACAGTTCTTTTTTCAGCCCGAGACTACCTCGAACCCCTTCTGTTGTAAGAGGCAGGAGTCCACAGTATTTCTGAGGATATTATGGCATGTAATTTCTGCTCAGTCTTTTTCCTGTTCTTTCTCCTACGGCCACCAAAAGAAATGCATTAGCTGAAACCAGAGACGTGATCCGGCCCATGTAGATACTTTCATTAAAAGCATGCAAAGCATTATGAAGAGCCCACATGCCGATTTCATTTAGAAAACACTTGGGACTCTTTGCCCTAATCCCTCAAATCACTTTTCCCGCTGTAATTCTCTTCCATTGTTTTAATGCCTCTACATATCATCCTGGTTTTTTGGAAGTGTTCACCCTAGTAAGGAATTATGATGTTTATGGCCTCAAAAACAAAACACAATAGCTCAGGTACCAGTCACTCTTCTCGTCACTAGGACAAAATACCTGACGGAAACAACTCAGAGGAGGAAGGATTTATTGAGTCACAGTTTGATGGGGAAGGCGTGGCGTTGTTCAGGGTGGGAGAATTGACTTTGATCCATGACAGCAGGATGTGAGGCAGCTTGCTCACATCCCAGTGGATCGGGAAGCAGAGCTCAGGCTGGGGACAGAAGCTGAGCCAACCCAGAGCTCTCAGTTCCTGCCCCGAGTCCCCACCTCTGCCAGCTAGGCCCTATATCCCAAAAGTTCTACAACCTTCCAAAACAGCACCCAGTTAGAGACCAAATGTTCAAATATCTGAGCCTGTGGGGAATGGTTCCCATTTAAAATAAGGACCAATTCAGTGACACGCTATCAGTATGAATGCCCCAGCTTAATTGACCTGTTAATTTGGTTACTTTGTTAACTGCATGTGCATAATGTAAGTTTTCTATAAGGTTTTTTCATAAATAGTAGAGAGATTTTAAGTTAGCATTTTGCAAGTTATTTATTGTCACGATAAAGGAAAGGCCAACTTAGTCATTCAATTCCCCAGACACAGGGTGGTTTGTGTAAAGATTCTTCAGGTTGCCTTTGGGAGGCAGAGGCAGCTGGATCTCTTGGAGATCGAGGCCACCGTGGTTCACATCGTGGTTTCAAGGTGAGCTGTGACTAGAGAGACCCTGTCAAAATACAATTTTAAAAAAAAAACAAAATTCTCAGCCTACCCCCTTATCCTAGGTCAATAACCTTGTAAATGGTAAAAAAAAAAAAATTCTCATCTCTTCCAACTACAAAATCTACCCAAGACTTACTGAAACACTTAAAAAATTTTCTCCTCTCCTGGAGTTTTCTTTTAAATAGAGATGAAATTGCATAGGGTTCATAGTCCCATGAACTTTCCTTTTAAAATGAATAAAAATATTTGCATTATGCACATTTAAAGACAAACATGCATACAAGACACTGTGGAAATAGAACATGATGAAAAATCATTCTCCATATTTGGAAATACTTCAAAGGATGAAATCTAAGATGGTTTTGACAGGTGAGCATATGGCGTCATGTTTTCAAGAAGGAAACTGAAATGATTCTGTAGAATGGGTAAATGTGCCGACTGAGTTAACTAAGGAAAGGTGGCCGGTTAATCAAAGGCAGAGAAGGTTGTATTGTGTGAAAGGTAGATACAGATGTGAATATTGAATTCAGTGATAGATAGATACATCTACCAATGGATCCATAAACCCTAGTTCTTTAGACCCTAATTCTTATTACTAATGATCTTATGGCTATAAGATATAAGACAAACAGAAATCTATAAGGTGCAAGATAATGTGAGAAACACATTCATTAAAAATTTTGAGAAGAGCTCTCTCTGACCTGCAGGCCTCTCTCTCCAGGGTAAGTCAATTGGGCCTCCGCACCTTGACTCCCCCAGCCTCACTCACCCTCCCATCTCCCCGACAAGTCTCTCCTCCTAGCCAGGGCCCTGTCCCATTCCTCGTCTTGGCACCCCAGACACCTGGGGAACCACCACTGCTTTCTGATCCTGTGCATCTAGACCAACTGAGTCCCTTCTCGGGTTCCCAGGAGCACTTCTTCTAGGCCTGGCCCCGCCCTTACCTCCCTCTACTTCCCTGGGCCTGCACAACCCGCAGGCCTCTTTCCTGGATGCCTGGGATGACCTTTCCTCTTCCTGGTCCTTTGCAACCAGACCAACCCAGCTCCTCAGTGCAGCCCCAAGGGGCCCTTGGGGCCACCTTCTGCCCCCCATCTTCCTTTGCATCTCTGGTGGCACAGCCACCAGCTGCCCTAGACCAGCATCTTTCCTGGGCCTGACTCCCAGGCCAGTCCACCCCCCAAATTCCTGAGGCCAAAATCTATCCTGGAGGGATCCAGACCTTAGGAGAAAGCCTGAGAGCATCTGACCCTCATCTGACTGGGGCCTCTGTGAGAACGCCTGAAGGCCCCCATCTTCCTTTGCATCTCTGGTGGCACAGCCACCAGCTGCCCTAGACCAGCATCTTTCCTGGGCCTGACTCCCAGGCCAGTCCACCCCCCAAATTCCTGAGGCCAAAATCTATCCTGGAGGGATCCAGACCTTAGGAGAAAGCCTGAGAGCATCTGACCCTCATCTGACTGGGGCCTCTGTGAGAACGCCTGAAGGCAAAAGCAATCTAGCCACTACAATATAAAATCAAATAAGAGAACTGGAAGCTTAGAGGAATCAGCTTTTCATGCCCCAAAAGTAAACCACAAAGACACATAAAGTTCACAGAAAGAAGCAGACCTAAACTTGAAGGCTTGAATCTCACACAAGAATCAGAAACTACAAAAGAAATTCACATGTCAAAATCACAGAGAAAAAATCATAACATGAAAAACCAAAATAACATATCCCCACCTAATACCAATAGTCCTCTAGAGGAGTACAATGAGAACCCCTTAGAGATAATGCAGGACACGAAACTCAAAAGAACAATTATAAACATGATAAAAGAATTCAGTGAATTTAAAGAACACACAAACAAAGAACTTAAAGAACTGAAGGAAGATAGGGTTAAACTTCTGAATGGATTCAGAAAAGAGTTAGAAATATGGAAGAATACTCAGGCCGAAATGAAGAAGGAAGTGAAACACTCAGTAAGCCAATTAGAAACGACAGGAGAAAGCCTCACCAATAGGATGAACAAAATGGAAAACAGAGTATCAAGACGAGAAGATAAAGTGGACGAACTGGACCATGCAAGCAAAGATTATGAAAAATTTAAGACATCACAAAGATAGAATATGCAGGAATTGTGTGATACCATAAAAAGTCCAAACTTACGAATCATAGGCATACAGGAAGGAGAAGAATCCCAAGATAATGGCATGGACCAGATC